ACATAAATTCGATAGAAAATCTCTGGGCACACGTAAAAAATGAACCAGAAAAACTTCCTAAGACCAAAAAAAAAGATGAACTGTTGAAAAATATTCAATACATTTGAAAAAACATTTCAATAAGTACATGCCAAAAATTAGTTGATACCATGCAGAAAAGACGTATGGCAATAATTGCGGCAAATAAAGGGTATACAACCAAATATTGACAAATCATAAGTAAATTTTTACTTATTATTGTTAATTATTTCCAATAAAATATGTACTTAATTTCAATTTATATATTTTTTTGCACAGTGACATTTGTAAAAATAATCTAGTTATATAGACTAGAAAATAATCTAAAAATAATCTAGTTATACAGAAATTTTGTTTTGTTTAGTTTTGTACTTCATTAAAAATATTATTTAATAGTTAAATTAATTATATAACAACAATTTAAATAAATTAGATTAATTTTAAATAAAGAACTTACAAAAAGTTAAATTTTTTAACAACTACCTATTATTTTGCACACTACTGTATTTAAAACAAGTAACATAAAAAAAAGACTTTTCCTTATTTCCCAGTGGGCACAGGTACGTTTTGCAAACGTTTTGTAAACGTTTTATGGTCGTTCGAAGGACGTATGTATAAGTAAAACGTTCAAAAAACGTGCAAAAAATGTTTTATTAGGTTTTAATAGATATAGATATAGATATATGATAAATAGATTGATATACAGATATACGATAGATATATGATATATAGACAGATATATGATATACAGATATATGATAGATATATGATATACAGATAGATATATGATAGATCAAGCTACAGTTAGAAAAGAGTTTTCAAACATAATAAATATTTATTGGTTTCAGTTCATACATATTACTTGATATGGTTGAGATAAAAAATAAACTTTTCATAACCAATTATTGTTACTATTTTATTCTGTTGTAATAATAATTGGTTATACAAGCATGATAAGAAGAACATGACTGTATGAAGAACATAACTGTATATTAGGTAGACAAATAAACAAATAATTCTTATTTATTAGTACTTTATTTTGTCAAAATAAATTATACAATTATAATATATATTGACAAAACTTTATCTTGATCAGGGGTGTGGAATCGTAAAAAAAAAGTTACAACTCCGACTCCGACTCCAGTTGTTGAAGTTTGTTGAGTACAACTCCGACTCCGACTCAAACTCCAAAGCAAAATACTTTAAAAAATATTACGCGATAAGTTGAAAAATTTTTTTTTTACAAATTTATGAAACGCATTTTGAGGTTTAGTATGAACATAAGTTTAATTGAATGTTTTGTGCATGCATGTGCAATACCGAGAAGTTTTACTATTGGAGTCGGAGTCGCGATTTTGTTTAGCGACTCCGACTCCGCTAAAATTGTTGCAACTCCGACTCCGACTCTACAGTCGAAGTCGGAGTTGCATATAAAATATATATATATATATATATATTTTAGTTGCATATAAAAAATGTATATATATATATATATATATATATATATATATATATATATATATATATATATATATATATATATATATATATATATATATATATATTTATATATTTTAGCTGCATGTAAAATATATATATATATATATATATATATATATATATATTTATATATTTTAGCTGCATGTAAAATATATATATATATATTTATATATTTTAGCTGCATGTAAAATATATATATATATTTTAGTTGCATATATATTTATATATAAAAATCCGACTCTACAGTCGAAGTCGGAGTTTTATATATATATATATATATATATATATATATATATATATATATATATATATATATATATATATATATATATATATATATATATATATACACACACACACACACACACACACACACACACACACACACACACACACATATATATATACATGTATTTCATAAATAAATCTTTTAATAAAGGTATAAAGCTATATCTATCTAGATTATTTCTACTCCAGTTTAGCAATTGCTCTACATTATTTGGAATAAAGGGAATACGTCCACTAACCATTGTTTTAAGAAATCTGAATTTGAAAGTTTGAAAATATACAATAATTCATGATATTTATTTATTGTCATGATTTATTTTGTTTAATATCTTCCGAATGGTCGACTGTTGAAGCTTAATATTTGTACCATAGTACACTTATCACTTAATGAATGCCGCGCGCGCAATAACTCAAAACCGTAAAATGTTGGACATATTCCCTTTGTGCTCTTAACCATCCATTTACACAAGTAGAACTTTTAGTAAAAATAACTTTGCATTTATAATATTGAGCCATGATTTTTTTTAGCCTAACTAGAAGACTTTACTTAGAAGTAACAATCATTTATTAGAAAAATATTAATAAAGCGACTGTATGTTAAGTAAAAAAATACAAAAATACTTCTTTCACCTTATAAAGAAAGGCAATTATAAATATTGACAAACCTAAATCTTGACTAAAGAGATGTGCAAGTTTTTTTATATTTTTTCAAAATTAATGTTATATTTAATATTCTTAACTAAATACTTCAATGTAAGTTTATATATAAGATTGAAGTGTGAATTTTTGTATTTTTTTTTTTTAATATTAGGTTTAGAATAATAAGTAAAAACCATATCATAATTGTTTGCACATTAAAGAAGCATGTCCTGATATTAAAGTGCAAAAATTTGCCAAATGTAAGTTCATCTGTTTTTAATTCAACATTTTATACTAATCAAAACTAGAAAAATGTTTTTCGAAATATTTTTAAAAATATTTTTAACGTTGCAAAGTAATACATTATACATAATAATACATTATAAATAATACATAAAACATTTCTTCAACAAGTTAAAAAAGAATTTCAACGATGCATTGCTGCACTTTATTGTTATGATAAACTGTCATCAAGTTTTAAGTCTATTAGTTGAACAAGTATGCTTTAAATGTTGTCTTTTCCTTTTTTAAAAGAGGTTTTTTGTATTTAATTTAATTTTCAGTTTTCCACAACAGTTTTTTATTAATATTTTACTTAGTTCGAACTTTTTTTTTCTAATAGGTTTTCAATCTGCAATATATATGAAACTACGATGCCTGAAGTCTTAAAAAGTCTTTATCTGCAGTGGATATCCTAGGCAAAAAGAGTTTGAAGATTCTATAATAATTTAATTATGATAAAATAAATGATATAACAAGGTTTGATGAAAGTGAAATAATTTTAAATAATAAAGCGAAGTTTTATTTGTTGTTATATTCTTATTTACATATATTTATAAAGTTTTCCTAAATAAAGTAAAATGTGATCAAACTAAATATATTCTATGATTTTTTAAGTTCTTTTTTAGCTCTGCTAATAATGTTTTGGATGAAATAATATCAAAACGTGTTCTACCATTGTTGAAGAAAGCTGGAACTTATGGAAATAAATCATTTTGAAAAAACTTTATTGAGTAGAGTAATTACAGGTACTTTTTAACTTTATATATTGTTCCTTTAATATACTGTGTGATATTTTCCATTACTCATTTCTTATTGTTATAATTTACATTTTGATGCATTTTTTTACATGCTAGTGAAATGCATGAAAGATTTCTATGGTATTTTTCTTTTTTAGGAACATTAGTGTCACATACAGCAAATATCGATTTGATTGATAAGCTGAAAGGCGATTGTTTGAAGAGAATAATAGATTAAATAGCTTAATAAAATAGCAAAAAAAATTACTTTATTATGTTTTTGCATGCTTAAATTGTAAATAAACACAAAATGTTAAAACTTTTAGTTATTTATCTGGATCTAGACTGTTAGACCTAAGTTTTAATTTGTGAAAAGGTTTTTTTTCTGTACAACATAAGTTATTTACTTAAATAACTTATACTAAGAAATAAAGATTGTTAAAAAAATGTTAAAAACGACAAAATGTTTCATTTAGACGTAATAAAAACAAGCAAATAACGTTTTCAGAAAAACGTCCGTTCACCGCTTTATATGGACGTTCAAAAAACCAATAAAACACGTTTTTGTAGGTCCATTTAAAAACGCTCACAAAACGTTTTTAAAAAAAAACGTCCATTCACCGTTTCATATGGACGTTAAAAAACCATTAAAAAACGTTTTCACGGGACCTTTAAAAAACGTTTTCTAAAGCTCAGTGGGTTACATGTTTGCTTTGCTTAATTGCCTCTTTGATTCAAAAAATAATGTATACAAAACGTCTGCTTAAACGTCTGTATACAAAGTGTCTGCTTAAACGCCACAAAAAAAAACTGGCTGGCTGAAAAGTAAAAAAATCATATTAGGCTGTTAAGGCGGATTTCCACTTACAGGAAATTTTCCGCGGAACAGATAGGAAAAGCATCCAATAATGTAACAAAATAATTTTAGATGCGCAATTTTTATGTTCATGATTGGATGATTTTCTTTTCCTTTTTGTTCCGCAGAAAATTACCTGTAAGTGGAAATCTGCCTTAAGCTAGCATCCAGAAAAAATGTCACAACATAAAAAACTGCAACATCAATGTATTATTCGAAAATAATTTTAACTCATTAGCAGAACCTGACATAGAATTTAACATGCTTCATCTTCGGCTTCTTGATACTTAAATATTGGAAATTTCTTGCTTAGAAATTAGTTATTTGATAAAAATAGCCAATCGGATTATAAGCAATAGAGAAATAACCAATAAAGATACACATTTTTAATGAAAAAACGTTTGAATTTTTACTATTTCTTTTTTAAAAATCACGATTTTAAAAATCCGTTAAATAAAGTAAAATCGAAAGAGTGCAAATAAAGAATCATAAAAATTATTTCCACAATCCATTTTTTTTACATCTGCACAATATAAAAACATCATCATGCTTGACCGTTCATTGAGTTACAGACAAACAATCATAAGGAAAATGGGAACAATTATTATAAAAAGTTTTTTTATAGATAAAAAGACAATAAAGAGAAAAATTAAAGCAATAGATCTGTCTTTCACAAAATGTTATTGGCATAAATACTTTTCGATATCTGGAACCAATGACAAAGGTTCTGTTGTAGGAGCATATCTTTGAACAGGGATACCGTTTTTATCACAAATAAACTTTGAAAAATTCCATTTGATTTTATTACCAAAAATACCTTTCTGCTTTGATTTCAAATATTTATACAGAGGATCTGCCTTATCTCCATTAACATCAATTTTACTGAATAAGTCATAGTGGGCGCCTCGCGCTAATGCAAACTCTTTTATTTCTAAATCTGTACCAGGCTCTTGGTTACCAAACTGATTACAAGGAAAAGCAAGAATTCGAAGACCTTTCTCAGCATACTTGGTGTGCAGATCAGCAAGCTGAGCATAGTTGAGTTCAGTTAAACCTCACTTGCTGGCCACGTTAACAATAAGTGTAACAAAACCTTTATATTTCGAAAGACTGATATCTTCACCATCGATACTTTTTGCTTGAAATTCAAATATAGAAGAAGCTTTTGTAGGGTCTGATGCAGCCATTATTACGCTAAATTTTATATGATCTAAAAATAATAGTTATTTTACAATAAGGAATAATTAAATACATCACCTTTTCAAAAATAAAACAGAATTTTCAGAATTTTAGTAAAAACTAAATATTGAATAAAAATAAATAAAACTTAACCATTAAAACTAAATATTTAAGAAAAGTTAAAGGTTGAAAGTAACCTATTCGACCAAGTGAACTAATTCATTTAACATAAGAGTTAAAAACTATAGATTTATAAATATATATATATATATTTAATAAGCAATAATACAAGTTCTTACAAGTGCTAATTTGTCTTTATTAATTTTTCCTGCGAAAGATGTGAAAATTAAAATTTGATTAAACTCTAAGGATAGTTTCAGCTCAACTTAAACGTATCTTCGTAACCTCACTGAATGACAATACGCTGTGGCGAAATACATAGATTAAAATTTGTATTTTAATATTAATTTTAGTCGTTATTAGTATAAAATATTTTATATTTCTATTAAACGTACACACGCACGCATATTATATATATATATATATATATATATATATATATATATATATATATATATATATATATATATATATATATATATATATATAAACAAATAAAAAGTTCAAGACGATTAAAACATTCATCATATTCAAAACATATTATTTTATATCTCATGTATTAAGAAAAATTTGCATGCTTCAAAATACGTTACATAATAAAGTATAGCTTAAGTTAATATCAAAAATTAATGTAAAATAACATATACAAAATATTTTAGTATTAAATGATGTTAAAACAACTATATCGTAGGTTTTTTAATGCCGTGAAACAAGTACAAAGTTCAAAGCAAATAATTTAGTTTTAAATAAAACATTAAAATAAACACGATTGCTTTACAATTAAACACGACTTGATCATATTTACTTGTAAATCAAACTTGTAAACAATATAACATATTTAAGAAGAACTCTGATAGAAAAAGTTGCAAGTTCATAAAACAAACTTAAATTAAATAGTTAAACATTTATTATATTTCACACAACGACAAAGTTTAGCCACAAGCGTTTGAAGGTTTCTTAAAAAAAAACGCTGTAGTAAAGCAAGATTTTAAAAAACTTTAATATTTAATTTTTATATAGTATTGTAACTCAAATATGAAAAGAAACAATGAAGTATTATTATTTTGTAAACATAAAGCATGTGAATGTATGTTCTGTTGTTAACATTTCTTAAAATGATTTTTCAACTCGTTAAACATTAGAGTGAAATTTTATCATTCGTTTTCCAATGAGTAAATAAGTCAGCTCCTCTAACTTCTTTGCCGTTGTTTCCCTCTGAATAAATATACAGCGCCATATCATTTACATCAGGCTCAGGATCACTTCGAGCGCTTTCAACTGCTAAGTCAACTTCTTCTTTAACCGATTTATCAATTGCCTAAAAACAAAGCTTTGACTTATATTTTAAAAAATTTATTTAATAATATAACTGTTTAATAAAAATTTGATAACAATTAAGATTAATTATTTTCATTCAAAATCACACAAATATATAATTTATTATTTGCAAATTAAATAAAAATAATTAAAAAATAAAATAAATTTTTAAAAATTATTTTTAGAACTGATAATAATTTACCGGGTGATGACGTCTAAACTAATTGATTAATTACTTTAAGTGCGTAAAAAATAATTAATTTTTATTACTACATTTGACCGACCGCTGACGGGTGATAAATTACAACGCACTGCTCCCAGATAGAGGGTTTAGGTTGAGGGTGAAGGTACCTGGGATTTTTATTGGCAGAAACATCATAATCAAATAACCGTAGCGAAAAATTAAAATTGTACCCGCTTCTAAATTGAAATTTCATGTTTTTTGTTTTTGTTTTTTTAATTGGTAACTAATTATGTACCGAAACCTTGTTGTGTCTGGCACTACAGATAGCCTAATAAATTTCAAAATATAACGAGAATACATTTATTTTTTAGAATTACATATGTTATATATATTTACATATATGTAAACATATACATTTAAAATTTAAAATATGCGTGTAAATATTTCATATATTTTAGCAGGAAAAAATTAAATTTGAAAAAATGTAAATGAATTGGAAAAGAAATCATCAGGAGTGCAAAGGTATAATCTGTTTTGGATGTTGCAACAAGAACAAACAAAATATATACCCCAAAATCCAGCTCAAATTGCTTGAAAAATCTAGTAAGGAAGCATATAGATAAAAGTTTTGATGGTAAAGGGAACTCCTTTCCTACTGGAATGTGCCTAAAATGCAAGACTGCAATATATATTAGAAAGAGGTATTTATCTTTTTTCGTCCTTTTTTGTCGTTAAAAAAATACATGATCTGCCTGAATGTATTATTAAAAGTATGTTGACTGAAATAATAAAAAGATGTTGGTTGATTAAGATTTGAAACCAATGTGGAGATGGATGTGAATAGTAAGTCCCATTTACTAAATCAGTTTTATTACATTCAGCAGTTGAGATTTTAGCAAGGTTATTTTGTTGGCAGTTGTTCGACATGTTGAAGAAAGGAGCTACAATTTAGCCTAAATTGTCCACTTTCTGAATGTATTATTAAAAGTATGTTGACTGAAATAATAAAAAGATGTTGGTTGATTAAGATTTGAAACCAATGTGGAGATGGATGTGAATAGTTCCTTGCATCAGATCTTAAGCTTATCAATATCATGCTAGGATTATCTGCCCATGGTGGGAAATATCCATGTGCTTGTTGTATTGGTGCAAAGGAAAAATTAGGAGAATTTAGATTCTTTGTCAGTATGTCACTCGGATGGAAGTACCATACCATTGAATAACACTTGAATGATTATTTGGACTGCCATCAGATATCTCTCGGCCTGACATCAGAAAAAACAAGAACATTAATAAGACTATCAAATGTTTACTGTCTCGGAAAGTAATCCTTCTCATAGAATAAAACTGAGAATGGCTGAAACATACAGCTCAATGAGAGTATAAAGATTATGAATTGGATAACAGTTGGTTAAGATGAAGAACTTGTATATATATAAACTACTATAATTTCCTCATAAATGTCCTTTTAATCTTGAGATATGAGAAACTTTGATGAGACAACTACAATAGTATATTTTTAAACTGTTAAAAATATTTGTAGTTATTGTTTGGATTTAAATTCATAAAAATATTATCACTATTTTATTTTTTCCATTAAAATTCTCTTACCTTAAAGTTATCTTCATTTAACAGTTTAGAATTCAAAATCTTTTCTTTAAAACTGGCTATAGGATCACGTTTTAGACGCATCTCCTGAACCTCATCTCTGGTTCTATAACTTGTGCCAGGATCACTCATACTGTGTCCAAAATATCTGTATGTGTTACACTCTAATAAAATTGGACCCTAAAAAAATGTGGTATAGAAAATACATTACTCTAAATTTTCTTTTTAATATATTCAAATTTTAATACATATTTACAATAATAAATCAGAATGTTGGAAATTCTATTTCAGGAAAGTTTTAGAATAATTATCAATACTATTAAATGAAAATAAAATTAACAATTAAATAGACAAAAAAAAAAAAAAAAAAATTTCATTGTTTTTAATTTTCCATTTGTTTAATTCTAATTAAACAATAAAAATATGATATCATTTTTAAATACTGACATTTTTAAAGATATTCACAACAATTAACATAATTGTTAATTGTTGTAAATTCAGATGTTTATTAAAAAAAATTAGAGCTTGAAATAGAAAAATCTTTGAAAAAAAAAACAAACAATAGACACTTTGTATGGAAATCTTTGGAACTGATTCTTGTAAGCTTTGTACAGCTGCTGTTGTAAAAAAATTGTGTTTTTTGGTTGAAGAGTGACAATAGCTTTCTTTTTTTCTCTCTGCTTCTATTAATTTCTTTGTTCATCTGTTTTCTTTTCTCATCAGTTAACAAATTTAGGTTAGTTTACTTGGATGAGGGTCAGCTTCTTAGAGATTGATGGATCTAATTCTTTTGACACTGATTACATTGCAACCATGGTTTGATTTCTGGAACTTACTGTGACATAATTCAGGCTGGTGTTTAGCATGTTTTTAGATTGGTGTTTAGCATTAGTGATCTGCACAAAACATCAAAGAAACATACTACAATCATACTGATTTAGCTAAAACTATAATAAAGATTTTTGAGGTAAAAAAAATAATTAAAAAGCAGCATTTATCAAATCTGGCATACGTATTACATATGGTGTAAACCATAGTTTTTTTCACGATCAATTTCATTTTATGATGCAAATTTGTTAGAACTGTTTAGTCTTTGTTTTTTTACATTTTTTATACATATTACTTTTTTTATACATACATATTACTTTTTGGGCACTTATAAAAATTTGTTGTATAGCAAACTTCGACTTCAGTTTATACTATTACATTAGTTTTATCTGGATTTATTTTCTCAGCTATATCATTATTTATGTTTCCTCTTCCTAAGACTTGATTTGCATAACTTATTCTCCCTTGACTATTTGTGCCATAAATGCTGCTAGTGCCTCTAACTTTGCCACGAGTTCAACATCTTCTATTTCTTAATACTGGTGTTGATTTATTCTCTACATTTAAAATTAGAGGATTATCTACTTGACTCAGTATCTTCTGAGTTGTCTGTTGTTACTTCAACTTCTTCCTCTTCATTATCGCCAGATATTAACTCTACTTCACTTGATTGATCTTTATCAAGCGATGCAAACAATAGTTATTTAGCCTGTACAGCAGTGTATCTAATACAATCACTTTTTTGTTCCAGCCATTAATTCTAATTTTTTTTATGAAATCTAAATACATCTAATTTATCTGAAAATATCAAAGAAATAGAGTGAATAAGTTACAAATAAAAAAATAAAAACAGTTTTTAAAAGCATTAGTTTTGAAAAACTATATATTTTATAAAAAAAAACATGTTAGGGTCCATATGGACCCCAACATCATAGATGTATATTTTGAAAATAACTAAAAAAGAAAGCAATGTCCAAAAACAACTTTTTGGGTCTTTGTACATCTTGTAATATTTAGCAGATACATGAAATTTAAAAAAAAAATACTGACTACATAAATATATAATGCAAAAACAAACAACTCGTGGGGTCCGTTTGGACCCCAACGTAATAGTAGGGTTAATAATCTTAAAAAAGTTTTAGTATAACTTAAGTATAAAAGTTTATAAAAGGAAATTGTGTACATTAATCTACTTTATAACAAGGAATAATTTACATATATGTATCATTTACACCATGTTTGCAAATATGTATTTATTTAAAAATAAACAACATACTTTTCCTGACTTGGTCCAATGAACAGCAAACTTGGCTGCTTCTCGAACACTTACAACACAATTTCCATCAACCTGAATACCAGGTATGTAGTCTCCACGAGTGTAATACTCATTGACAAATGAACTTCGACTGGATGATGTTCCCATGCCATATCCATTATTTTCAACAACAAAAATGCATGGCAAGTGCCACAAAGCAGCCATGTTGAAGGCTTCAAAAACCTATTAATAAATATTAAAAAATAAAATGAAATTTTGAAAAATGTGCTGTATTAAAAGTATTAAAAAAAAATTCATTTGCTACTTTTCATTTTAAATTTATTTTAAACCAGATACTTTTATAACTACAAAATATAAAATTTTAAATTAATGTTCAAGCAAAAATTGGACCTTAGGTAGCCTTTTTATTTCTCTCAGTTATTGTCCCTTCTCTCGGCCCTTAATCTTAAAATCACAAAACTTGACAAAAAACGTCACTGGGTTAAGATACAAGTTGAATATGGTATTTTCAGGGATGTGGTGGGCCTTAACTCTATATTTATCACTTACGAAGCAAGCACTCTACCATTTCCACAAATATAGTTAAATTTAATTATAAAATTGATATTAAATCATTAATAAGTTGTTTTCTTTTTTAAACAAGCTGCTAGATATAAAAAAATACTTAATAAATCAGAAAAATTAGCCCTTTAAAACAGCTTTCTTCAACAACATCCTCTTTTCTTCTAAAAATTTATCCACTTCTGCACTTCCATCACTGTGATTCCTTGCGTCTCTAAGGATCTTTCATTATTTTTCAAAACAACCAAGAAAGTCTTACCCTAACTGTTATCCCTAACCCTAAGGTACATGTACCAAAACACTGACCCTTTAAGAAAACATATACCAAAACAACATATAATACCTTATCCTTTTATCATCACTTATTTTATCTTACACCCCAGTTAATCTAGTTTTTTGCTACTAGAAACAAGAAAGATCCCTAACAAGAGAGATTCCTTTTCCTAACTTGCATGACAGTAAATTCTGTATACAATTCAGAAAATAAGTATTTTTATTGTGGCACAATCACTAGTAAATAATAACAGTTTTCTATGAAATAATAACCTTTTGAAAAAAATATCAAATAATATGAACTAAATATAATTGAAAATAAATGTACCTGTCCTTGGTTTGCAGCACCATCACCATATAGAGTAACGCAACAATGACCATTATTTCTATACTGATGTGCTAAAGCTATTCCTGCACCAAGAGGAACCTGAAATTTTAATATGATTTGTATACTTTAAAATGCTAACTTAAATCCAAATAATTTTTTCAGAACAAGAAAAAAATTAGAAAAAAAATTAAGGTCTAAAAAATGAAAAAGAAACTTTAAGCATACTAACATCATAAATTATGATGTTAGCTGGCATAAGTAAACAATTTAACATACAATTATGAAATATATTACATTATGAATCATAAATTTATGTAAAATTGTTTATAAAACTCTATTAAACAAATTGGGGTTTAATAAGGAAGGTTGGGTTGTCTTTACATTTCTTTTTTCAGATACAATAATAACTACAATAAAAAATAACTTTATATTTAAGTTGTTTAAATTTTCTTATAACTTTACTAGGAATAAAAGCATTGAAATAAAATTTATTACTTGTGCACCAACTATACCATTTCCACCATAAAACTCATGTGCATACATATGCATTGAACCTCCTTTTCCTTCAGTACAACCAGTCTTTCTACCTAAAATGTTATTAATAATAATTCAAACCCAGATCACAAAATAGACCATAAATGCAGTTTTATATGGTTTAAATATATATGGTTTTATGAAGTATTATATGGTTTAACTGTATATGGTTACATTATATGTTATAACTTTATTATACAAATGTAAAGATTTAAATAGAAACTTTTTAAATTTAATTACTCTCGATTTTCCACCAAATCACAAAATCACAAATTAAATAACTTAATAGAAAAACAACAAAAGTTAGCTACAGTTTTATGCCTAGTATGAAATGTATTATGAACTCATATAACCATTATATTTTAATATACTCGTACCAATAGAAATAAAAACATTTACGAAAACTGAACCTACTATGTTATTTATCTATGTTTGTTAAATGTGTCATTTATGCAATCTATGTTGATTAAAAACAAGCCTTCCCAGGAAAGGTGTGCGGTTTTTTGTCTCGTACATCCACGAAAACATTTTTTAATTTAGATAACTTGATCATGGCCGTTTGCTTAAATTTTATTATATGCGTTGCTGAAAAAAGTTTTAAATTTAAAAACTACATAAGAAATTAAAGTAAACTTAAATAGAAAACAATAATAATAGTTTAAATAATTTGTGTTGTTTTTATTTTTGTTTTTTCTTAGTGGTTATTATTATCGACAACAAAATTCAGTAAATTAAAGCAACAAAAAAACAAACAAAACAAAAAACAGTTTTAATTCTAAACATTTATTAAAGTAGAAAAGCATCTAGAAAAAATAAAGCGGATATTAAAATATTAATAAAAATTTCAGGAACTTTTACAGGTCACTTAAACAACGTTAAAAAGAGTATTTTATAAAAAGTATAGCATTATGAAAAACGTTACATAAAAACGCGCCTTAATTTTAAAATCAACCAAAGTTCATTCTTTGCTTGTTTGAACAAAGAATGAACTTTAAAAGTAATAAGTACTTTATAAATGTAATAACACTATTATAGTTTTATTACTTTTATAATGCAGTTAGTGACTAAAGTGATATTACTTTTGTAGTCGTAAGTTTATTGTTTTTGTTTTATTTTTTGTAACTTTCTTGCTAGCAAACTTTTAATAATTTGTTCCTTGTAAACAAAGTACACAGCTTTGCATGCACTAAAAATTTTAAAGACCAAATATTTTACCAGAGTTTGGAAATCGTGATCGTTTAATTTAACCCTTGATATATACTTGTTACATTAAAATTATACAAATATATTTTACAAACACGTTGCAATTTATATTTTTGCTATCCTCTTAAAAAAAAAGTTAAGAAAAGGAAAATTATTCTTTTTATTTGTAGACTTCAAACTGTTTTTTTTTTGCTTTGCCTTATCTAATTTTGTTGCTGAATGTAACAACCACGCTAAATAAACAAAAATAAAAACAGTACAAAAATAATTTAAACTATTAATGCATTTTTATTTTTTTCTATTTTAATCTCTTTTTATTTTGTTAGTTTTGTTTATTTTGTTATTGAAACTTTTTCAGCATTAATTATTATAAAACTTGCGAACGGCTGTGTTCATGTTGTCCAAAATAAGATACTCGCGTGTGGTCATACAAGTCGAAAAACCGCACACCTTTCCTGGAAAGGCTTGAAATTGTCATTTATGCAATCCATATTAATTAAATGTGTCATTTATGCAACCCATGTTTGTTAAATGTGTCATTTATACAATCTATGTTGGTTAAATGTGTCATTTATGCAATCTTTTTATCAACTTATTTTCTCATTTGGCATTTTTATAAGAAACTAGTCTATCATTTAAAAAATCAATCAGTTAGTCAAACCTAATTATAAATATTTGCATTTTAATTCACACTCTTTGTCTAATTTTTTTTTTGATGGACAACACTTTACTTCATATCATGTAACATCAGGGGTTTTTCAAGGTTCTATTTTTGGCCCTATCCTTATTTTCAATTTACATTAACGATCTCCCAGAAATTCTCACATCTAAGGTGGCATTGTTTCCTGATGATTCTATCATTTGTCTTGACAAGAAGCCAACATTTTCTGATTACTTGGAGGGGGCATTTAAGATTGAAAAGGATCTCATTCTGCTACAGCATGGGGCTCTCAGTGGCTAGTGAACTTTAACTCAGATAAAAATCAATTTTTCGGCAAACCGTTGTTGCAAAAATCTATATTTCCTATATTTATTAACGATAATGTACTCAACCATTCATCTACCCTTCATCTTCTAGGATTAACTCCTACCTCCGATCTCTCTTAAAAACCATATATCAAATCTCTTGCTAAATTAGCATCTGCTAAGGTTGCATCTCTTTATTTTACTTGCCACTTTCTTACTCAGAATTCTATTCTTCATCTCTATAAATCTCAAATCCGCCCTTGTATGGAATACTGTTACCATACCTGGGGCAGATCTTCCAATAATGCTTTTTCTCTTTTAGACAAGGTGCAAAAAAGGTGCATTATATACATAGTTGGACCTGCTCTTGCAGCTAACCTCCAACCATTATCACATCATCGCAATGTTGGTTCTCTTTCTCTTTCCTATAAATACTATATTGGACACTATACTATATTACTCTAAAGAGCAAGCATCTCTTGTGTTATCTACTATAAGTCATTCTTGTGTTACTTGTCATTCAATAAAGTCTCATCCTTTTACTATGACTGTTACTAAGTGCTCCAAAAACTCTTATTCATCTTTTTCGTCATCAGAACATCAGTTCTTTGAAATTTGCTTCCTTCAACTTCTTTTTCTGATTTAAATAATTTGCAATATTTTAAGTCGCCTGTCAATCATTATCTTGCTCTATCAATTTCATCTTTTCTCTTGCAGTTACTTCCAACTCTAATAGTGGTTGTTTGCAGTCTTGTTGTTAGTTAAGAAGTTAAAAAAATATATACATATATATTTTTTTTTTAACATCTTTGCTTCCAACAAGGCTGCAAGCAACCACTAATTAGTGTTGGAAGTTAATGGAAGAGAAAAGATGAAGATTGTAGAGAAAGATAACGATTGACAGACGACTTGAAAGATTGCAAATTATATGAATCAGGAAAACAAGATGAAGGAAGCGAATTCCAAAGAACTGATGTTCAAGGAAAAAAACTAGACGAATAAGAGTTTTTGGAGCACTTAGGAACAGTAACAAAAAAAGGATGAGACTTAGTTGAATGATGAGTAACACGAGAATGAATTTTTGTAGATGGCACAAGAGACACTAGCTCTTTAGAGCAGTGCCCATTATAGTATTTGTAGAAAAGAGAAAGAAAAGCAACATTACGACAATGTGACAGAGGTTGAAGGTTGGCTGCAAGAGTAGGTCCAACTATGTTTACAATGCATTTTTGCACCTTGTCTAAAAGAGAAAGGGCATTATTAGAAGATCCACCCCAGATATGGCAACAGTATTCCATACAAGGCCGGATTTGAGATTTATAGAGATAGAGAATAGAATCCAGAGTAAGAAAGTGACGAGCTCTATAAAAAGAAGCGACTTTAGCAGATGATAATTTTGCAACGGATTTGATATAAGGTTTCCAAGAAAGATCAGAAGTAAGAGTTAATCCTAGAAGATGAAGGGTAGGAGACTCATCGAGTACATTACCGTTCATAAATATAGGAAGGTCTAAATTATTGCGATAACGATTGGCTGAAAAAAATTGAGTTTTATCTGAATTAAAGTTCACCAGCCACTGTGAGCCCCATGCTGTAGCAGAAGTGAGATCCTTTTCAAGCTCAGATGCCCCCTGCAAGCAATCAGAGGGAGTTGGCTTCTTATCATGACAAGAATAAATGGTAGTATCATCAGCGAACAATGCCACCTTAGATGTGAGAAAATCTGGAAGATCGTTAATGTAAATTAAAAAGAGTATAGGGCCAAGGATTGAACCTTGAGCAACCCCTGAGGTTACAGAATAAGAAGAGTGCTGTCCATCAAGGACAACTTTTATACTACGATTGGAAAGGAAGGATTCGATAATCTTAAAGATGTTTCCAGATACACCGTAAGAAGAAAGCTTATGGAGAAGACCAGCATGCCAAACTTTATCAAACGCCTTAGAAATGTCAAGAGCGATGACCTTAACCTCTCCACCTTTGTCTAATGCGCGATAAAACCTATCGGTTATTACTGTTAGCAAATCAGCTGTAGAACAAGAAGATCGAAATCCATATTGATGATCAGAAAGTAGGTTATGAGATTCGAGATGAGAGATTAAGTGTTTGTTAATTAAAGATTCAAAAACCTTGCTTATGATAGGAAGAAGACTAATGGGACGGTATTTAGACGAATCAGATCGCTCTCCAGAATTTTTAAAAATAGGGATAACAGATGCTGCTTTCCAGCAGGCTGGAAAACAAGACTCTGATAAGCACTTGTTAAATAGTTTTGAAAGGAGAGACGACAGCTCCGGAGAACACTTCTGCAAGACTATAACAGGTATGTTGTCCAGGCCGCAAGCTGTAGAAGAGTCTAAGCAGGAAATCACTTTAGATACAGAAGCTTGAGTGATACGGATGTCGAGCAGTGGATCAACCTGTTTGACGGCTATATCAGGTAGAACGCAACTAGTAGAATCAAGAGATGATATTGATGAAAAGTTCTTGGCAAACAATTCAGCTTTGTCTTTAGGTGAGGTGACAAAGTCTGAACCGTACAAAAGAGGTGGAATTACAGACTTGCACTTATTATTGATACTATTAAAGATTCTGCAGAAGTCACGAGAGCCTAATTTTTGTGATGAAATACGAGATTTCATGATCTGAGAATAGCGAGCTTTGGCGTTAGACAAAACCTTTTTACAATGGTTCCTAGCAGTAATAAACAGACGTCTGTTTTCTGAAGAATTGTTTTGCTGATAGATATGGAAGTAATGGTTTCGATTAGCAATTGCAGCAGCACAATGTGAGGAAAACCATGGAGATAAGTGAGGCTTGACCTGGAATTGTCGAGAGGGAATAAAAGATTCCATGCCAGCCTGAATCCATGAAGTTATGTAAGAAGCACATTTGTCAACAAGAAGACGAAAGATTTCTACCCAAGGGCCATCACGAAGAAAATCACGGAAAGTGAGTCCCAGTCAGCTTTAAGGTAGTTGTAAGATGTACAATGATAGGGGGATTCTGACGGTAAAGAAGAATGAGATAATAGTTTTCGAGAGACCAAACCATGATCAGAAGCACCTAAGGATGAGTGTGGAGAAACTGAGCACTGACTAGGATCAGAAACAAGACATAAGTCAAGTAGAGAAGGTAAATGATTCGGGTTGTCTGGAAAGCGAGTTGGAAAGTTGACTATTTGAGTTAGGGATTGAGATAGGCAAAAGTTGTGCGCTTTAATGCCTGCAGAGTCACTGACACTAGAGCCAAGCAATTCAGTGTGATGAACATTAAAGTCACAGACAACAACAATATTGGCTGATGGATAAAGAATGAGGGCTTGGTCAATATAATCAGAAACAACTTCAAGAAGAATTCAGTCTTGAGATGAAGGAGAACGATATAGAACAAAGAGAAAGGTGATAAAGTGAAGTGGTGCTAAACGAAAGCACATAAAAGAGTAGTCTGTGGATTCAAACCTAGTTTCCCGACAAATGGGTGAATTCTTACGAATGTAAATGCCTTGGCCAAGCATGTGACTATTGGAGTCTTTACGAATTAAAGGAAGATAACCATCAACACTAAGATCACAAGATGAGATAGCTGAACTCAAATTAGTCTCACAAAGAGCAAGTAGGTCTGGTGAACTTTGCAAGAGATAAGACTCAACAGAAGAAAAGTTACTTCGAAGACCACGAATGTTGGTGAATGATAGGTTTAGTGAACTTGGTGATGACTGTGGTTTTTTGTGTTTTATAGTTTTTGTTACTTTATTCATTTTTAAATTTGTTAAAGAACTTGACTCGAAACATAGATAGTACTCAGTGCACTGTTTTATAGCCCAAGCAATTGCCTCATTTCCACTAATAAACCCTAAGCCGTAACAAAGGGCTCCAATGTGGCCTCGGCAATGCACATTAAAAGTACAAACAGGGACACCATCTATGCGCAATATGGTACTGTTAGTACTCTGATATTTTTCAGCTGTTGATGGAATCAGCCTCTCTGAGAGCTACCACAAAGTTCGGGAAACCTGACTACCAGCCGGCCTCAGAACCATAAAACTGAGTTTTAGAGCTGTACCCTCATTTGGAGATAATAGAATGAATTGCCTAGTCATAAAAACAGAGACACAAGCAAAACCCATGCATCGAGTCAAGAATATCCAGCGTTCAACATCCTAAACTGGAAACAATGTATTAAAAATACATCTGCGCCAGCCTAATAGATGGATAAGGGGTGCGAGGCTGGTCAACAGATAGAATCTGTTTACCCCTTAATTTAACAAACATATCCATGTTTGCTAAATGTGTCATTTATGCAATCTATATTTGTTAATAAGATCAATTAACAAGCTTTATTAATCATAATTAAATAGAATGGCTAATTGACATTTTTGATTCTTCTTTCAAATTAAGATTCCACAATCATTTAAAGAAAAAAGTGAAAAATAATTACTGAAGCTAATCAAAAAATTATAATATATAATTAGAGTTATAAGAAATAACATTGAGTTTGATACAACTAGTTTTAATTAGTTCTCTTTTTTAATGTATACTCATTATTTTTTTTTTACAGTTTGTATATTGTTTTTAATACTACTATTTGAAAATTATTTTTAAAATGGCATCTTCAAATCATCATTAAATCTTTTTAGCTCCTTTATTCAGTAGCCTCAGGAAAAGTCTAATGCAGACAGGATCGAGGTCCCAGTCAGTAACTAAAGTGTACAATGTCTTTTTTTGGTCTTATCATAAAAAAAAATAGTGCTGAATATAATATTAAATTATGAAATGAGTAAACTCAAACTAAACTCACCTGTTAATTCTGAAAGCACTTGAGCTACAGTTCTACCTTTTATATATGTCCATCCATGTGCTCTGTAAGCTGTTATAACACTGTCATCATTGTCAAGCTGATCATTGATTCCAACACATGTTGCCTCCTTAAAATGATACACACAAAAAAAATATAAAAGATTACATACAAAATTATTGTGTGATAAGAAACAATATAGAACCATATAAAAAATATCAAAATTAGGCAATATATTGGTTAGAAAAAATATAATAACATACATAATAACACAATGTTAGACATGTTTAATAGGAAAAATAATAGCATTAAAAATACTACATATAAAGCCATATGTTGATATAAAACAATATTACACATTATAAAATAAGACAAAGTTAGACAATATGTTGATAAGAAACAGTATAATACAATATAAAATAACAAAAAACATAATTTATGTAATGAAGTTGTATTTTTTTTTTCATTCCTTATTATATCAGTGTCTGAATTTTTTTTTTTGAGAAATAAAAATCTTTTTTTCATTTTCAAACTTTTAATGTGAAATATCCTTTTATTAAAGGGCAAGGAAAATTGTGCTATTTTCATGGCCTTTAATTATTCTTTTAACATTAAATAAGGTAATAATAAAAAATTATATTATATATAATACTTTATAAAATTATATACTATATACAAAAACTATATAATAAAATTTTAATTCAAATTCATGCAAAAAAATATTATATTTTGAGATCTAATTTTTGCTATTTTTTTATTTTTTTTAAGTATACTATTCAGATTAAAGTGATTCATAAATGTAACACGATTCGATGCTTTCAATCAAAACGAGCCATTTTATTAACTTTGAATGTATGATTGCCAATAACAATGCAACAGACCAAATTATCAACTGATATTTAGATATTAGTTGATAATTTTTTTTTTTAACTTTTTTGACATATTTGAATAGTTAGCTTATGGATTCGATTTGAAACCATTTTAAAATACATATTTTTGTCTCCCTTACGTCTAAGAATTGGTTCATTTTTGCTTCATAGGCCATAATAAATGAGACTCCTCATTTATTCAATTTTATTAAAAAGTATTGACTTGTTAACTAACAATTTTTAAAGCGAAAATGAAAGCTGTTACCCTGTTGCTCTTTAATGCATTATCAAATTATTTGTTTAAAAATAACACTTTTTCAGAAATTTTAAACATAAGTTTTGTAACAAAAAACATTGAAAAATCATTAAAGGCATTTTTTAGTAATGAATTTTTTATAACATTTTTTAGTGAGTTGTTTTTTTTAATATAGTCATGAGCATATGGAGAGGGCCAACTCTTCACTTTCATATCTGTATTAGAAAAAAAAAATAATAATAAAAACATTGTTGAGTATGTAAAAATTAGACAGATTATAACTTTCTAATTGAGGGGCCCAGCAATCATCATCTCTTTTTTCATGTTATTTATTAAGATTAAATAGCAGTAATTTTCTTAGTAAATTTTTTGAACATTTTTTGGTTTTTCTCAATACTAATAAAAAATCTTGTTCTCCTGGTCCGAGCAGATAAGTTCTTTTTTCTGTTTTCAAACATGACTTTTTTTTGAAACACCCTAATACACATACTTACATATAGGATCTGCATACTTAGTTTTCTGATGATTACACTTACAAACGCTTGTATATAACATTATATTAACACAATTTTACATATTAATAAACCAGCGACACATCCTTTATTAACACATAACATTATGTTAACACATAACATAAAGCATGTACACGAAATAAATGTGAAAGAATAAGTGTGTCATTTTTTTTCAGTAGTTATATTAAAATCTTTTTAATTGCTTTGTATTTTGTTTACAACGTGTTGTGGTTTCAAAAAAAATGTATTAGCTTTTTGATTTAACCTTAAATTAGTTTTTAAAATGACAAAAGAAGAAGACATGAGAGAAAAAATTATGCACAAATATTTGGAAAATCCCAATAGTAGCTACAATTCGATAGCAAAATCGTTGCAAATACATCCATACACGGTTAGCCGTGTAATCCAACGCTTTTCTCAAACAAAATCGATCAAACGTAAATCTGGTGGTGGAAGAAACAAGGGTTTAAAAGATAAAAAACTAGTTAGAAAACTGGTTAACAGTTTTAAGACTAACCCGAACCTTTCACTAAGGGAGCGCGCAAACATTTATGGACTTTCTCATAGTTTTGTTGTAAAAGTTCGAAATAAATATGGTTTTCATTCTTTCAAAGCACAAAAAGTGTCCAACCCATCTGAAACTCAACAAAAAAGTGAAAAAAACCTGCTGCAGAAAGTTGTATTAAAATTTTATTTCTAAACATTTCTGTATTATTGAAGATAACAAAACTTATATCAAGTACGATCATCAGCAAATTCCTGGTGCCATTTATTATATTGCCAAATGTAGACGAAAAGCAAATAAGAAATTTAAATACATGACAAGTTTACTAAAGAGGTCTTGATTTGGCAAATTATTTGCAGTTGTGGCAAAAAATCAGCACCTTATATTTCTCAGTCCACACTTTCGGGTCAAATATATGTTAAAGAATGTTTACAAAAACGCCTTTTACCTCTCATTAAATCACACGGTAAGAGACTGTGTTCTGGCCAGATTTAGCTTTAATTAATTATTGCAAACTAGCTTTGGAATGGTATAAAAATAATGATGTGAAATTTGTGCCTAAAACAGAAAATTCTCTAAACTGAATTATAAATTATTGAAAAGTACTGGGCAATTGTTAAAAAAAACAATGAAAAAAAAAACAAAAAAACTTTGCAAAAATATTAAAGATATCAAAATATTATTTAAAAAAGCATCAAATGGCTTTAATTCTTATTCTGTGCACAAGCTTATGGGTACCACCAAAGCAAAAGCTTATGGGTACCACCAAAGCAAAAGTTTGAAATTTTATTTGATTCCCACAGGAATAATTTGATTTTTTTTTTATATTTGATCTTCTTATATTATTGTATTAAAGTTATTACTTGGTTGGAAATAAAAAATGAAGAGTACTTTTTTTTTTTTTTTTTTTTTCTACTTTCACATTTATTTCGTGTACACACTTTATTAACACATTACATTATATTAACACATTATAACACTACATTAACACATTATAACATTATATTAACACAACTTTATATATTAGTAAATCAGTGACAAACCTAGAGTTTATTTGAATAGCTATTGTCTGTATAATATAATATACAGCAATAGTTATTGTTTATGTATAATATAATATATTATACAGACAATATCTATTCAAATACAAAACAAGTGTCCAATAAGCGTATTTACTATTATTTTAACTTTAATTTTGATTTAAATATTAGCAATTATGCTTTTATAATAATAAAAAACTGCATAATTAAACTAATAAAAAAGACATTGGATATGTTAAGTTAATAAGAGTGGAATTTTTACTTTTGTTGATTTATTATTAAAAACTTAAAGTCTTAATTACCAACAAGTTTACATTACTCTTATTAGTTTATACTCTTAAACCATTCTATCTTTCTAAAAAAAAAATTCATGCATTCAATTGCCTTTAAATTGAGTTTCATAATTAGTTTTAATTCATTTTTTAAAATCTAAAGTTTGTTTATTAACCAAAGAACAGCTTATAAGTTGGCTCAAAAAACATACTCACTAAATGTGTTCTATAAAATAAAACTTAAAATAAACCTTAAAAAATTTTTTTTTTAGGTCTCACAAGACCCTTCTTTAAAAAGATATCTTGAAATAAACAGTAATTGAACCATGGCCTATTATATTACATGTAATAAGTGACCAGGGCCCCGGCTAAAAATGAGACTTTTTTCAAACCCGGCCCCAGGCCCCAGCTAAACTATAAGATTTAGCATGGGTAGATAGGCAGGGTTAGAAAAAAATTTATAATTTTGAGCATTGGCAATGATTGTATTTGTAGGAAAAAAAAAGAAATGCAACCTTAAAATAATGGGTGAGTGGCTTGTGAGATAAAACATGGCTATGAGTGTATAATGCATATGTACATATAAACATGAGTGAGTGAATCATAAAAATGAGTGAACATATAAACATGAGTGAGCTTGTGAGATAAAACATGGCTAATTACATTTACAATGTGCTTTTAGACTTTGTCTGAGGGTAAGAAGGTTGTTATTTATCAATATAGGAATATGCCAACAATATTACAATATTTTTTTGCAGTAAATAAATGAGTTTTGTTGTCTAACAAAAGTTGTGGGTTTTAAATCCAGACTAAAAATCCACAAGCCAGTGTAAGCCTTAGACTGTTACAGAAAAAAGTAAAGACTTTTTGTTAAGAGAAGAGTATTAAGTTGAGTCGACAGGAAATAAAGCCACTTTAGATTTCACGAAGATCGTTATTGTAGACAAAAAACAATAAAGGAGCAAAGGTAGAATCTTGTGGTACCCTTAAAGTCATTTAGAATAAAGAAGATGGTAGGCCTTAAATAATAACTTTATTATTGCAATTAGAAAAAGATCATTTAATAACCTCAAAACCTTTATATGAAGAAACTAATAAGATAGTAAAAGCTAATTATAGGAGAGGTCAAAGTGTTTTCTAGAATTTTGAAAAATTGGAAACACTTATTTAGCACTTTATAAAAGTTTACCAATAATTGAAGAGAGTTCTGGAGAACTCTTTTTAAAGATTATGATGGAAATCTATTTTGGAGCACAAACTGTAGAAGTGTTTAATTAAGAATTAACTTAGCATTGGAAGCCAGAGTGATTTGGATAAGAAATGGGTTTATCTGTTCAACTGTCAAGAAGAGTATGGCCATTATATTCAAGAGTCAAATAAGGGTAAGATTTCTATGCAAATAACTCTGCTTTATTTTGGGGAAAAGTTTAAATGATCAGAACTAGATATTAAATGTTACATGAACCAAAGATTAAATGTTAGACTTACTTTAGTTAATAACACTGTTGAAGACTAACCAAATGTCTCTGGAACCTAACATCTGAGATAAGATACAAGATTTAGTAAACTGAGAATAACAGAACTTAACATCAGACAGGACTTTTTTACATTAGCTTTTTGCAATAATAAAAGGACATTTGTTCTTAAGAGAGATGTTCTTGTCATGAGAGATGTTC